TGAACAAGACAAGAGAAAAAAACACCCACATAAACAAATAAATGAATTCACATGATTTGTCTATAAGTAACCAGTGCTTACAACGAATATTGAAACTAATCGATAAATGAATGAAAAAAAAGCATGTGATCCGTTTTTCCATTACTTTTTTTAGCCAAAATCATGGTTCATTGCATAATTAATTTAACATAATTTACGAATCTAAGAAATGTAAATTACATAACAGATTTTATTCTTATTACCTTATTTGTTTAGCCTACGTAGAGTTGTTGCCCTTTTCTTTCTTCACAGACCTAGAACACACCAGAGTTTATGTTTCATGTACATTTTATTCCTTTGGCATTCTGAGTGGGACACACGACTTTTAAGCTTGAACTTCGAAGTTTCAGTAGGGGTATTTTTATTTTTATCGGATGAAGTCACTAACAGCCTTACTACACCCAACCTTCCTGCTTTTGCCGCCTTACCATCGGATAGTAAACTAGGCAAGGCTCAGGAGTGTGTCAGACAAGAACAAACCAGGAACATATCCGTGATTGCCGAGCATTCTGTGCTGAAGCACCTACGTAACATACAAAAGTCAAATATTCCTGTGACGTTTTGTCCCATTCGTCCAATGGAGATTTTCTTTTCAACGTTACCATCTGATAATTAGACCGTACTGGTTAATAATTACATTAGTAGTAGTGGTTTACAGACGCAGTAAATATCGGGTGATAATCCCTCACCCTTGTGATGGAATCGTTGACCTAAATATAATCAGCCAAGAACCCTCTCCATTTTTGGTGCGCTGCTGTATTAAATTCGACTGTGTTGTGCACTACTACTAGTTAGCTAAGCACGCACATGGATTTCGTAACAATGATCACAAAGCCCATTTTGGACAATCAAATAGTTGTTCGTGCTGAGAGTTTCCATTTTGACGTTATATTATTTTCAATTGGACTGGAGAATATGCTTGTGATGAGGGTTGTCTGCAAGCCAAGAGTGTGAACAACAATTTACGTCCATGTTTACATCCCAAATTGGGGTCATGTGAAAAAACAAGAATAAGGCCTAACCTTGAGGAACTCAACAAGCAATCACAGCAGACTTAGCGTATGCGGATACGACTCGCGAATATATCACAAGACTGTCTAAGAAACAACAACAAAGAGATGACGGAATAACCTTTAGCAAGAAAACAACCAATCAGAAGAGGTTGCTTCTCTGCTAACAATAACGAGCAATAATGTACAAAAAATCTATAAGTATCTGTTGATTTTCTCAATAAACGATCTGGTGCCTGGCCCTTCTCTTCTGTCGTTACACGTATACCTGCATTTCTCTTACAGATAAAATCTTTTGTCTTATCTTATAAGTATACTTTGGAGCCCCCCTCCGTCCTACTAAATTATAAAAAAGAAGAGGTGTTCAACGAAGAGTTACTTTTTACAGTCATATCATTCTCAAGAGTATAAGGGAATCTTGCCAAAAAGCGTACGAGTCAAACTTCTTCAAACTGCTGTGGCTTATAACAATCCTTATGTAAAGTCATAAACTCTGTATAAAAAAACTTGTTCAATCACTCAATTTACAATGAATTCGACCTATAATTCTTCTGCCCTTTCCCGCTTTTACATCTCTACTCCTTCTCTCAACTTTAGTTGAACTCTACTAAATCCTGCCAACTGTGTTGTGCCACTCGATCTACCTAATTAATTTTGCTTTATTGCCTACGTGGTAATATCACTGTATTCGGCAATGTTCTTTAGAATCTCCTAAATGTTACCTAAAACTCAAAACTTCTTTTAGTTATTGCGTACTATATATACATTTTTATGAGATTTCAACGCTTGAGAATGATATCGGTAAAAAGAGTAACTGTTCGCTGAACATCACTTCATTTTAGAAAGTGGAATTAAATCACATGTTTGAGACGTTGGTTGTCTCATACATAGCTACAGATTGTAAACTCCTGAGCAGTAATCACAGTCTGTGCGTATGTTAACACGCGTTAACTACTTTCTTAGACTTTATGTATCTAAACAGAAACAAACCCATGATAAATTATATCACATTATCTTGTTTCATCCTACTTCTAATTGAGTTGATTAAGGTTTCGTAGTGAACAACGTTCAGTTTTACTACTCCTGTTTACTTACAAGTGCTTTTATCTCACATCTAACAAACTAAAAATTAAAATGAATTATATCTATTCTGCATTATTTGGACGACATTGATAATACATGAGACAAAAATAAAGCATTTAAGATAATCTATTGTATTGAATATTGTATTAGTTGAAAAGTTTCTGTAAAAACATTCGCATTGACTTCTTATTAATTCAAATGAATGCAGTCATAACTCGCTTTGACTTCACCATGACAATACAAATCTTAATTAATAACTTAACTACTGTTAACCAATCATGAGTCAGCGGTAGCGTCACTGTATGATGCAAGTTCAAATCCCACAGGAGACATGAGTTCCATCACGGTTGCAGATACACCTTGAAGGCGTTGTAATGTTATGGTGGGAACTGGCTGTTAGTTAAAATTGGTGGACAGTAATTTACGTCAATGTTTATGTCCCCACTACTGGTCGTGAGAAAAATGAGAACAAAGGATTTGCGTAGACGGATACAGTTAACATAGAGATGATCTGACATTCAAGAAACAGCCACAAAGAGATGCAAGGTTAACTTTCTGCTAACAATAATCTATAACAGTGTACATGAAAATCGATAAATATGTGTTGATTTCCTTAATAAACGATCTGTTGCCTGGCCCTTGTTTTCTGTTGTTACAATGTGTCCAAGTCCTCTTACGGATTACCCTCAACTACATAACATCAATTCAAAGTTAACTGCAATAACTAAGTATCTGGCTTGCTGACCACAATGCAAACTTGACTGATAGAATTCAGTCTACACCGAAACCAAGGACGAGATGCATGACACTACTGGTTACTCTTTAGTGACCGATCAGCTAATGTATATATAGTGCGTGCGAAGGCTTTGATTGGTTTACAAGTGGATCATGAACTAACTTCAATTAAAAAGAACTACTAAAAACCAGACAGTACTGGACAGCTACTTCGTCCTAGCTTGGGATTCTTCGGCAGTACGAATGCATTACCCCCATAACCTTCAGATTACAAGGCGAACGCGTTAACCATTCAGCCGTTGAGATGAATGCATATTTGACTTTCAGTTATGTCAGAAATGCACAGACACTTATCTTTCAAATCAATAATTTTCAAGTATTGGTTTTGTAGGGATTTTGTTTGATTGTATGGAGGATTTCATCATAAGATGACATCAGTTAAAGAACCACTGGAAAACCTGGACAGCTGTTTCGTTCTAGTTTGGGACTAATCGAAGAAGACATTGCGAAATGGTCGCGCTGTGTCGTGAATTGGCAGAAGTTAGAATTCAAGAACCATTGGATCGAGTCCCAGTGGATCAATGGTCTACGAGCTCGCTGGCCTTGTAACCAGAAGGTGCTGGGTTTGAACCCCACAGTGTGGCTGCGTACTGATGAAGAGTCCCAAATGAGGATGAAGCAGCTGTCCAGTTCCCCTGCGGGTTTTCCATCGGTTCTCTAACTGATGTCTGCTCATGATGAAATCCTCCATACAATCATATAAATAATTCATCATAGACACCAAATATCACCTTAGAGATATAGAGACCTAACGCACAACATATGCTATATATCGCATCTGATAAATTACTGACAACTTCCAGTTTTTAAATTATTCCGTCCACCAAAAGCTAAGCAAGTAAGTGCTCTTTTTTGGAAAACAAAAACTCAAAAAATGATTGACTTCAATTGACAATATAATAGGAGAATAACAGAAAACAAAATGAAGAGTTATCCTTATACATACATGCATATATATATATATATATATATATATATATATATATATGTGCAGAGAAATGTGTGCATAGGTCGAAAATTTCCCCGCCCTCTCCCTCCTTCAAGCTTCAACAAAATATGTCTGTATATCTTGGCGAGACAAACACACACACATCAGAATGAAACAAGACACACCTACACACACACACACACACACAGAGGGACAGAGAAAAAGACAAAGACACTTTCAGTGCATTACACACCTTGTTGTTCAACAGCCAAAAACAAAAAGAAACCAAAACAAAAATAGTATTATACACAAGGCGCTGAAAATGAAGGAAAGGTGGAATCCGTAAATTGAAACAAACAAACAAGCAATGATGACGTTAATGTCTGCTGACAATGGAAGATGATGATGTTAATGATGACGATGATGATGGCTGTGAAGGAACAATCAAGGACTAGACGAGATGTTGTTTTTAGTGTGTGTGTGTGTGATGAAGGGATAGCAAGTTTATTCGATGACAGAATATAAAGAAGGCCAAAAGGAGGCTGGTTTATTAACTACATGAAAAGTGATTGTTGTTTTCTGAACACTTACAGAAAACCGCTCTATCATCCATAATTTTCATTTCTGTATGCTTATAAATATCAAATAAGAAAGAAGTGTTGGTCAGAGTTTTTGTCGAACCAACAGTCATTATCATTTACAATGGAATTACTTATGTTGTATTAGACGACTTATGAAGATAACTTATGTTGTGATGATTAACAATCAGCTCCTCAAAAGTGTTAGCATACTGTTAGTACAAACAGAGTAGTACATTGAAACAACAAAGCAACGATATTTTAAGAGGAACTGTGGTCAATAATTCCATAATAACAAGTACAGCAGAGATATATATAGTGTTGCGCAACAAAAATAACAATAATATAAATGGAAAAAAACACTAGAAATTCCCGATCACATACAAGTATTAAAGATGATTGCAAAATACAGCAATCCTCTTTATATTTTGCTTATAATACTCAACAGGTATAAACAAAAAAAATTTATTAACAAGTGAGAAATTAGTCATTGTAGAGTAGTAATAGTTGTAGTAATAGTGATAAACGAAAGCCCAATCAATGTTAATTATGAACAGAATTGTCGAGTTAAATCTTGTTTGCAATATAACCAACTAATGCAACTAGCCCCAAGGCTCCAACAGCTCCAGTAGCAAATCCACCAACACTGCGTAATGTTCGCCAGATTAATTCTTGTCCATCATTTATAAACTGATTACCAGTGAAATCAATTAATCCAGACTGTTTTGGAGAAAATAAAATTACACCGGATTAGTTGTAAGAAAATTATGTATTATTCCCTTTTAAATGTAGTCAATTTTGCTATATTATAAGCTTAAAAGTAAGAAAGTCTTTGATTGCATAAATGAATTACGTAGGATTTCAAGCAAACATACACTTACCAAATTCAGAAAACCAACTTCTTAAACAACCAATCACTAATCACTGATACATACACACTTTGGATAAGTTGACCAACAACATTACAAAATGTATGAGACCGTTTTTTGTCAGTCAAAGTATGATGAAATGAAGTGTTGCTGCTCAACAACCACCTGCGATTTCATCCAGTTGGCAATGAGCCAAACCTATTATTCGACAGCTAATGATACTACCTGGCTGGTCAAACCTCCGTAGATGGAGAGGAGATCAGACCTATGATCCAATGCGGTTGAAAGTTGAGTGATTAGACTAATGAGTCAGAGGTTTAGGTATGATGTTAAGCATACATCGTCTCGTCTTGATGACTGAGTATGGATGATTTACTCCACTAACAAAGACGATCAAATGAAGTGCTATTCTGTAAGACTATGATCTCCCAAAACGTTTCTTGAACAGAAACAGCTAAGGTGACTGTGTTACTACGTTTAAGCGATTCCTATTGATTGATCTCAATTTTGGCCTCTTTTCATCATTGAATTAGTTATCTTTTAATATAGAACATAATGATATAATGTCAATTGACTGGTGACTTTTTGAACGCAATTTATTGTGTACAATCACATCTAACGTAGTTTTAACAGTTCTTTAACTGTTAGATGAACACTAATGCAGTACTTTGATACATTAAATGCACAAAATAATACGCAATTATACTTCAATGAAGTACAACTTTTATTACTGTATAAGATCAACAAAAGTCGGCAATTTCATAAATACATCACAATGTGTAACAGCATTAGTTGGTGGATGACGTTTCGAAATCAGTTGCAATTCTACAACTTTGAAACTCGGTTTTTATAGTTTGGGTTTACCTTTCCTACTAGTCATAAGGATACTAGAGTTTTCCAGATATTCACTGACTCCCACGTCAATAAAAACAAGATTAGTAAAATTTTTAAGTAATAGGGTGAGACAGCTAATCAATACCAGACAGACCCTAAGACAGAAAGTAAGATACATAAAAGAAGCTTTCATGCTTTATGATTACCCTGGTAAATTCATCTAGAAGCATATAAGAAATCATACGAAAAAAAAATGAAACGACCGATAGGTGCGAGATAACTACCAAGATGACAGCACCCTGTAGTAGGACTTGAAAGCAATAGGAACCACTGAGAATTTGAGTAGAATTCTTAGAAGGCAAGAATAAAAGTCGCATTCAAACCTACAAACTGAGATAGGAATAATCTATGCTGTCTAAAGGATATTGAAGAACACATCAAAGAAAACAACAGAGTTCATCTAAAACCTTGCAAAAATCGTAAGACCAAATACATAGATGGAAGTAGTGAACCGTCGTCAATTAGACTAGTGAATGACAAAAACCTGGCGAAATCCAGACTAATAGGGTCTACTAAAATAAGAAATCCCAAAAAGGACTCAGCTAAAGCGTTTTAAGTAGTGACACTATCACACTACCAACAACCTAAAATCTAATATAATAGAATGGAGGAAGAAATTGACAACTGAAGCTTTATTTATCAAATCAACTAAGAATATATGCAATAGGAATGATTTGACATCTGTCGCGAACATCTGGAAAACTTTACTACCCCTACGAGAAATGGGAAATAGGAGGACTATAAAAACCCATTTCTGGAGATGTGCAGTTGCCCTTTAGTATGATAACAAACAAAGTGTCATCCAGTAAATAATACTGTTTTACTGTGTGATATATCTAATAAACACATTAATATCGAATTACATGCTACTACTGTATTCAAATTTCCCAATAATCTAAATAATTGCAAAGACAAAATACACGGCCTGTAGTGATGCATATGCTGGAAATGACGCTGAAAATTAAGACATTCACCCTCTTGGATTGACGAGGATGGCTTAAGTGTATGGTTGTAGAAACTGGACCTTCAAAGTAGAACTTCGTAATCCTACTGTGAGCTTCACTACCTTGAGATTCCCAGACTCCCAGAAACGTAGAATAGAACACTTGACGAGCTTATTAAACCAGACGGTACTTTAGACATTTTACCTCCATATAGCCTATTTTCACACATAATCCCGCATTTTTATTGGTTGAAAAGTTCAGTAGCCTAAAGAACTTCATAAAGACATGACTTCATATTCTCGCTAATTTTGATACCATCATTCCCTAAGGTAGAATAACAAAGAAAAATTAACTGGGAAATTAATACAAGATATAATTTCCTACAATACAGTGTAAAAAATGACCTACCCAACCATCATGAAGATTGATCCAATTTTTCAACTTTTCATCACAATATTTACTTGTTGTCTTCACAAGCATTTGTATTGCATCATTGTGTCCATGTTTTGATAATCTTAAAACTAAAATGCGCAGAAATGCAAACATTGCTACAATACGTCCCCAATTTAACTTTTCAAATAATCCATCTAAGATTTCAATATAAGATGTTTCCAAAGCTGTTGTATCGATTTGTTTATCTGAATCTATACCCAAGCTTTCAGCTACTGGTTCAACTTCATGTGTTTGACTGAGACGTTGATTGAACTCTCTTACTAAGTGAAGTAATGATTTGATGATTTCTGGTCCGTTGGGAATAGAGCTTAATTCAGTAGTTGTATTATCAGCTAAATCAGTCAGGTAACTGGCATCTTGTTTATTTACACTGGCTATCAAGAAGGAACGACAGAGTGTTAAAGTTTGTACCCGGAAATCCACAGTACTGGACATATCCTGAAATGTACACAGTAAACGAAGGTAAGTTAAATAAATCAAAAAGTATATTTGTTAGAAATAAAAACCATGCCTGAGAGTGAAACGAAGGTTAGAAGGTATCAAACATTAACATAATCACACAGATGAATATTTTCTAACAATGTTGCTTGACAGACTAATCGTATCCTCTATTTGAACTTGTGATTCCATGTGGTATAAAACCAATAAACTAAAGATAAATTTACAGTTCGCAAAAGTTCAATGACAGCGTTGGAATAACACTGAAGTAACTCCAAAGTTAATGGTTCAAAATAAAACTTTGAGCGAACTACCGCACTCTATAAAGCACACATGAATCTACATAGAAAATAAATTGAAAAAAAGAAAGGAAAATGAAGAGGAACCATAATGAGTCAGAATAGAGAGAAAGAATCAAAATAATGAGGATTAAATACATCCGGAAAATTTCACACAGCGAATGCGCCTGCCCCACTGGGAACCATTTTGAGCCATGCCTTTAACAGTCCACGATCAATAATTTTTAGCACCATGAAGACCCCAGCCAGGCAGTCTTTATCTCCCTACGAAGTTCGAGCCAACAGTCATTGAGTGACTCACTGGTTTCAATATAGAACTTTTCACACAAGTGCAGCAGGTCAAGTTGCCATACTTTATGTAGCACACTAAGGAAGACAAAAAAGACTCGAAAGAACGATAAAAAGTAGAAATGTGGGGAGAAAGGATAGTAATCAATATGGCAGATAACAGAGGGTGAATGCATCTGTGCCACTGAGAACGATTTTGAGCCGTATCACCAATTGTCCCCAGACATTGGTTCTTAGAATCCCGAGAACCACAACCAGGTAGTCAACACTTCCTTACATGGCTCAAACTAACTTTTAAATATCTGTGACTTGATTCCGCTTGACTTGATTTCGCTTTGGCCACCACTAACTTTTTTACAACCTGGTCTTATATCAGCTAACACTACCCGTCGAGGAAGGCGATGGATAAACATGAGTAATATACGTCCTAGCTACGATGAATAGTCAAAGACTCTATGGAGTGATAGCATTTTTTGACATGACCACCTCTAACTCTTTTCCCAACTAATCCTATATCGACTAACACAGTTCAACGAAGTGAACAATTGGGTTATCATGAGATTTCACAATCTAGTCAATCGACTTCCCCTTATCATAATTGATATTTCCGTGAACAGTTCAGTCACACACCCAATGCACCTAACAAAAAACCAGCACATTGAAAGCTTTGACTGCTATTAACGAAGAGATTTCAATTACATTTGGGTTTAAAGAAGTTATGGTCATCAAACAAATGTACAGAAATAAATGGAGGTCGTCTTCGTACTACCTTAGTAACTGAGTTTCAACGTAGGACCTGGCACAGAAGTCCAAGGGTCGAAGTTGCCACACTTTGTGTCTTTACGGAAGTTTGTGGACAGTTATTGCTTTCCAGTTGATTTTTAGTTGGGGTACTTGGAACAGAAGCAGTATTAGTGTTGCATTACCACAAAGCCGAAGACATAATTAATTGACATCAGTCACACACGGTCTGTTTGAAGCAGTTTTCGGAGTTTTGTCCGTAGTAAGAACTCACCGCCAGTTACTGACCCTTGCATAGTACAGTTTTAAAGGTCGACTCTCCCTAGTACCCCAATCCACAGCAGTGATGACCATAGATGCTTTACTGTTTACCTGAGGGAAACACCACTGACATCTCATCCCTATTCCACACGACACAACTTCACCCAAAAACCCCCCAACATAGTGTAAACGATTTACACTATGATAACCGCGCTCACCTGAACATATATCCAAACGACATTGCTGGCATGGTAGGACCCGTAGCAACATAAGTTCCAGCCAGCGTAGTTCACTGGGTCATTGAGGTATGCAAGCCGAACCACCACGCCAATGTAGCAACTATTGGTTGGGAGAATGACCACCGAATACGATATAACTTTAATTCTAAAACCACACGATTATGAAGTTGGTGGTAATTGATACGAGAATTTAAAATTACTTTTATAACTAAGTCTCAGATAAAAGTTTTCAACAGGCAAGCGAATGTTAAGAATAACGACCCAAACAATGTTAACCAAAGAGCCGTCAAAACCAACGAATGAATAAAGGAACAGAACCAAATAGAGACTTCGGTTAGAAGTACTATAAAAGTACTGATGTGCACTCTAAATCAGCATAATAATTAGGGTTGGAACCAGGGTTTTGAGTCAGGTTAGAATCCTCAATGTCGAAGACTACTAAGCATTTATTTGACAAACAACGTTACTACTATTTTAGGTACTACTACTAAGTAGTGTGTGTACTTCATGTTGGAATTTTAGTTCCAGCTGCAATATTAACTCTAGTTATTTTATTTTTTTATTTTTGATTACAGCTTGATTCCACACCGTATTTTGGGTACAAGTATGGAATTTTTAGCGTGGATATCGGTAGCCTAAATTTCGCAGGCCGACCATAGATATCAGGTGTGCGTCGGCGTGGGCTCGAACCTCGAACCATGTGCATGGTCGGCGAGAGTCCTAACCACTGTGCCACCGACGCACAGTGGTGGCGCAGGCTTGTTGGTCAACACAGGATTGGAATCACCACGAGTTGGGCAGAATCACGCAGGGAGATCACATGCAGAAGCAACTTTAACACAGAAGCATTTGCTTTAAAACAACAAACCACATGAACATAGTGTTTACAGTTGCCGTTAGGTTGTGGAGATGGATGCAACATTTAACGTATGTACCACAGTTTAAGCACTCTAAAGATGTAAAAAAGATGATACAGTCACTTCAGATTGAGTTCTAAGGTACGCTTGCGAATTACACGAAAATCAGATAGTGATCATTTCGTTTTAAGTGTACTTTAAGTGGGATTTGTTTTCATTTTTACATAATAAGCTCTGCGACTCCAACTTTAGTCTCGTAGTAACTCATAGATGAACACCACTTCTTGGTGGTTATCATTTCCGGAACATTAATCTGACTGAAGTTTTACGACGGCTAGAAAAGAAAGTGTAGTGCTGTGTTTAACATAACACCATGGATAATTAGTTTAATTGCTCCAAACTGATTATTTCTTGGGACCTACATCTACAGACGCTATCGTCACCGCCAGCTTCACTATGAAGCAAACAGTCTTTTCCTAAAAGGATTAGTGCAAAATTTCACATGATTTCATGTAAAGATATATATATTTCCTCGAGTGATCTAAGTAAACAAACAGATATGAAGAGACGTTCTGTATTAATGTCCGATTTCCACTCAGATATAAATAAGTGTACATGGTCAAGAACCCTCAACCATTAGAAATGCATTTTACATGAACTATTCAAGTACGTATGTGCATATTCGCACTCCAGCTGTTCGAGAGATGTTCCTACAACTTAATGACAAATACTCAAGATACCCAAGGCAACAACTGCCAAGAAATTGACAATGTTCACGAGCCCAAAGCCAAATGGCAGCAGACATTATGAATATAATCAGAAAACTCAGAAGAGTAATTTGACAAAAGATTTCTGCAACCACTGAGGCAAAATATGAACATTAAGGCATGAACAAAACCCACTGGTATTATGTCACCAGATTTAAATGTGAGAAAGTCACTTAAACACCAATATTCGTACAGGGATCCTACGGAACACAACGTCCAGATGGAGTCGTAGTATTGTAACACAGCACGGAGAAAACCGCGGCACTTTCAATATCCAATGTTGTTTTTACGAGCTAGTGTAAACCAATTTGATTTCTTTGTGCTCACTTCTTGGTTGTGGGGTAAAAAATTCCTGGTCTTCGGCAGACTTCGTCGTAGTTCATCCTGCCACTCGACTTTCGTAGTCTCGGTTGACTCCAAGAGGAGTAGTGTTGGGACTAACTACATGTAGTTTCTAGTATATGGTTAGTTAAAAACCGTGTTGCTACTGTGGATGAAGTTTATCCCTTCATCCGTTATTTGTCCGCTGTGGCCGAAAATAGAGACAGCAAAAATGGTAACTGATGTTATCATTATAAGTTATGTCAGAAAGAAAACGTAAAAACAGACAGCTTACGAAATTTGAAATCGATATATCTTTCATAGTACACGTTTATACGTTTATGTGTCAGTAATAATAACAGTGTAATGGACTTAATAGTGGGAGTAGCCAGGAGATTAGGACAAGGGAGAATGTGGGAAAGTAAAAAGACGAGTTTAGGTACATACATATTAATTAGTGTGTCAGTTTTAGAGATAGGCCGTTTGGACTCACTCCATTTGTCGCTGCATGATCGTCCAGCCTCCGCTTAAGACCGTCAACAGATGGTGTAGTAATCACGTATTAGTGGCAGAATACCTTTGTTTGTATGATTCTGATCATTTTTAATCCTGTTGGCAGCAATTAAGTGACCCCTAAGCTGACGGTAGGGTAGACCGACTTTTTTGATAAATCACACAGTGTTGTACAGTTATATTAACTGATGACGTTTAGAACACAAACTATTGCTCATAAACATATTAAGTTACTCTCACAACTGTTTTTATTCATTTACGTACATGTGTGGAGTCGATTAGATATTGGATTAAAAATCAGTATGAGATAATGTACATTAAGAAATAATAATAATACGAGTGTTATTGATCAATTACAGTTAGATGGGAAAAGGGACGAGTGTTTTTTACAGCCGTAATAAGCTACTTGTTAGAATGTTGTGTTTGAATATGTTTGAACTGAAATAGAATTTCAATATTATTTATTATCCTCTCCTGATCTGACCTGCGCTAATAATATCTTCCATATTACTGGTATTTGCACTGAGTCATCTAATTGATTCCACACGTGTACATAGTTGAAAGAACAAAGTTGTGTGAGTAAACTGATATGTTTATGAGCAATAGTTTGTGCTCGAAACGTGTTCATCAGTTAATATTAGTGTACAACACTGTGTGATTTATCAAAATAAAATCTTATCCATAATGGAGTTATACTCTACCTCAGTGCCCAAGTTTTATACTTATATCAATAGACCAACGTTATTTGGCTGTTCGTCATATGGTTTGTTTCGGAGACCCATCAGCCTGTTGTCGCTCGTCTTTGGGCTTTTGCCAAAAGGTAAGCGCCTCTTCTACGTTTTGGTAAAGAAACGATATTGTGCACTTCAAGGTGTGCTCTGACACATGTTTTATACGACTTTAGAAAGAGCTCAAGAGTAATTGCACTTAACTGCGTATGCGTAAAATATGCGACCGCACATCCCCCCCACTATATCCCCCGTGTAATTCATCTTGGAACTAGACTTAAGTCACTATCCGACGTCCTACAGAGCAAGTTGCACAGGGAATGACTAACATGTTTCAGCCTAAAGGTGGGTAGTCGCACTAGTTTGCATTTTTCAGGTTGAAAGTCATACCATTGACTATCTCCCTGTCTTCCGGAACTTTTAATTTTGTCCGCAGCCTATCAGCGTCTTCCAAGAATTTTACTGCTAACCAAATTTTCAAGCTGTCGGCGCAAAGAAGAGCTGGGCAGTTTAGACATCATGGCAAGTCACTGATAAAAATCAAAGACATCAGTTGCCTAGGGTAGGACTCTACTACACTCCTGATGCCGAACCTTGCCGAGACGATCCGACACGACTGACCTCGGTACAGAATACCCTTTCGTCTAGGTAGTCCTCCAACCATGATAGAGGCGGCCCATCAATAACCACCCGACTTATTTTGCGTAGAAGGTCATGGTGAACCGTGTGGAATGCCTTCTGAAAATCTGGAAAGGTCGCATGGACTGGAACACTCATATGCCAGCATGACGTCCAATCATTCCAAGCTGATGGTAGGTTTGTCACACAGAATCTATCCCTCCCGAAACAATGTTGTGCTTCACGGACTATGTTAGTCCTGTCGAGGTGTCACCTGGTGTGACCAGCCAGACATTCTGGTACTTTTGCTACCACTGGGATTTGTGCTACTGGTCTACAACTGGTGGCATTTTGCCCATCCCCACGTCTGAAAATAGGAAAAAAAGGGGCTCTTCTCCAGTTCCTTGGGAGTTTCCCTGGACCCGCTGAGTGTTTCAACGGGTCACGTAAGTGCCTACAGATAGCTTCCCCTCACCATTTCAGAATGGGTGGCTCGATGCCGTCTCTGCAACTTCCCTAGTACGAATGCGAAGTGTGTTTGAAGCGTAGCTACTGGGTTTTCCCTCGATAAAACTGCAGCACCGACTTTTCGGCTTACACCGGTAATACTCAAATTGCAATTCTAGTCACACAAACTCGATGACTTGCAGGTGAATATCAAACTGGCTGAAGAGGTTGAGAAAACAAGACTTCAGGTGAACACAGAGAAGACTGAGGTGATAGTCAATCAACAACAAAAACAACCGACACCAATCAACACCAACTGGAGAGACTTAACAGAGGTTGCCCCCTTCACCTATCCGGGAAACATCGTCTCAACTACATGCGGAACGGACGAAGATGTCAAAGTCAGAATCGGAGAGGCGAGATACGCCTTCATCAAACTGAAACCAGTTTGGAAATCTTCCGCATTCAGCATAACGAATAAGATTCGCATTTTCAACACCAATGTGAAGTCAGTCGACTGGTATACACAAATCAGAAACTTGGCCATTGTCACGAAAAGGACTTCCAGTAGGATACAGACTTTCATCAACAGCTACCTTCGCTGGATCCATACTGGAGATCGAATGGTCGAAAAGAATAAGCAACAAGAAACTATGGGAACAAACCAACCAGAGGCCCGTGAGGCCCCAGAGTGGAATCCGAATGTAAAACGGCGAGTGGGTTGTCGGTGTGAGGGTGACATGGAGATGGTGTGAGGAAGAGACGAGAGAGTTTGGTCATTCGTGGACCCAGCTGAAGAGGACGGCAGAAAACAGAACAAAGTGTAGACGTGTTGTTGAAGCCCTATATTTCCCTGCCAACGCAAGGGAATAATAATATGTGACTGTCAAAGGCTGGGCTGAATGTCTCAGTCATTTTCAAACTAGTCTGCTGCTGACTGTTTAAACCTAATAAAATACATGCCCTGTGTTTGGTACAAGCTTTTAGAGTTGTCCAGGAGTTTTTGGAAAGGTTAGTCTTAAATGACCTCCTGTCACTCTTCACTCTTGTGTAGCAACAGCTCCTGAGTTCCGGGTGTGCATCGTGGCCGCGCTGAATCTTCAGGATTCTATGTTAACACCAAGCTTTCCGCTCTGCAAGCAGCATATGTCGCGTGAATCTCTTCACCCACGGAAATTGTCAATGCAGTTGAAGATTGAACGATCAATTCATGGTTGTTTGCTCGAAACCAACTTCCCCAATTTTCGCGGAGGCATCAATACGACAGTCATCGTCTCATCGGTCGCTGTTCAGAAAGAAGTCAGCAGAAAACCGTCAGAAGTAATATTGCGATTCATTATTGTAATATTTGTTCACAGACCTTAGTTGTAACATTGTTTATATGTTGGTGTTACAATAAAGAATCCTCGAGTCGCCAATTGGTGTTTTGGTTTTAGCGTCCGTTATTACTAAGCGTTTCTGAGAAACTTCAAGGAACAGCGTGCGTCCGAGTGCAGCAAGAGCTCGCCATTGACGGTTTACGGGACGTGCCTGACACTTTCTGACAGTACAACGTCAGCTTTAAAAAGGATTTGGACAGTTGGTGACAGTTTGGATAGTCACCGTTCATCTTTCCTGGTGCCGGTCAAGTCCTCTTTGAACAAGCAATATCTGGAACGTTTTTGGAATTGGGTCAAGTTCAACAATGCCTGGGTCAAAGAAGGGACAGAGCGTCTTGGATACAAACAGGAAAGTAAGTCATGGTGACTTGTCTGTTAGTTGTAACGATGTGTCTGGTGTTCAACATGACATGGTTGATGTTACTGTTTCACCGTTCAGGGATAATAGGAACATCAAACTCCCTAAATTTGAACCACGGTGTTTTGATGGAAACCCGGCTGATTATTTACAATTTGTAAAGGAGTTTGAGATCATATTAAATGGTTTTTTATTAAATGATGAAATGAAGTTAACGTATTTGATGAGGTATTGCACTGGAATTGCTGCAAGAGCTATACAGTGCTGTAAGTTTATGAAGCCAAAAGAGGGCTACTACGAGGCTATGAGCATATTACGTCAAAGGTTTGGAAGACCTTCGATGATTGCAGGGAAATTATTCGAGGCTGTTAAGGGTAATGGTAGTCAACTGCAAGATGACTCCAAGGTACTTACTGAGTTTTTGGATAATCTGTTGATTTACAAGAATGAATTCGTTTCGATGAATCGCACGAGTGACCTCAACTCGAGTTTTATACTAGAAGTAATAGCAAGACGTCTACCTACTCGACTGCAAAGGAAGTGGGTGAAGATAAGCTCCCGTATGGAGGATGAGGGTATCGAGCCAAGGTTCGATGACATTCTGAAACTGGTAAAAGATAGCGTCAATCAATCTATGAGCAAGTTCGCCAGTCTATTACATCTCACCCCTAGAATAGAGCAGTCTGAGAGCAAAATGCAATCATTGATGACCAGAGGTGGATATCGAGAAGGCTCCATGATGTCTAGTAATGCATATAGACCTAGTGAGTGTAACAGGTTTCGTAGTACATCCTCAACAGATAAGTTACAAGATGCAAGACAAACACGGTTGTGTTTTACACGTTTGCAAGAGGTGCATACAAGGGTGAACTGTGAACCAGTGAGCAAGTTCAGTGATAAGCTAAATGTAAACTCCAGGTCTGACTCCGAATTGTGTGACGATAACGGTGTTGTGAGGAAGTCTGTAGTTGCAACTGGTAAGCCATTGTTGAATAGAGTGTCACAGAATAGAGTTATTGCTTCAGAGTGCAGTTCTGACTCCACAAGTTTACAAGGTATTACTAGTCAGAGTGAAGGTATAAAACCTTTAATGATTTGTGAGGAGGAACCAAAATTGTCTACTTCTGTTATTAAAGAGTTTGAAAATGATGAAGTGACGATAGATGATGGTGAATTGAATATTTGTGATAATGATCATGATAGTGCAGATTTGTCTTTGGTTGATCATGATGAAATGAGGGGAATGCCTACTACTGCTAAGTTAAATAAAGGTTCTGTACAACTACAACGTGAAGTAGAATTGAACGCAGATGCAGTTCCAGAAGATGTGCATACTTGTGAGACAGTCAGTGTAATTGATCAGCGTGTAGCCCACCTATCATCAGATGCTAGTGCTAAACCGGAGCTAATAGTAAAAGACAGCAGTGGTGGTAATCTTGCAGTTAGACAACTATCTGAAAGCCGAACAACAACAGCTTCTGATCCACCACTAAGTTCATCAACTGGCATCAATCAGTTGTCGTTGGTGTTGTCATCCACAATGAAACAGACGCCCATCAACTCAAGTATCTTGTGCAATGACTATGATAGTATTGGTGCGTTTGAAAAGGCGAAAGATATTGCTCAGTTTAGTGAGGATAAGCCAAGTGTAAACGAGAGAGTAATTGTTAAATTGACTTGCATGAATAAAGGCATTTCTAGTTTCAAGTTACTATTTGAATGCTATTATCTTTGGTGTAAATTACTCTGTTTCTACGCTTGGTTGACCAGATATGTCGTGTGTTTGATAGTCATCTATATTCTACGATACAATGACATGAGCGTGTTACCGTTCAGATTTGAGGATATAGCTGATAGAAGGAAGTCAGCAAATGAACTCTGCGACGATTTTCCAACCTAGAGCGTCAACCTGAGAAGGGTTGTAGGCGTACTGGTGTAAGTCCTACAATTCTTCAAAGGGTAGCGCATCAATGAGCAGTCCAATGTGCTTGGTGTATGATCTTGTACATATGTTCATATTGTATATACTGAATTGATATCATCTGTCATCTAGCTGTTGGTAATTCTGTTTGTGTCCGGACGACTTCCACTTGGATCATCAACCTGAGAAGGAATGTAGGCGTACTGCTGTAAGTCCTACAGTTCTTCAAGGGTAGTTTGTCGTGCCAGAATCCACAACATTTGATGTGGTGATTGTACATATGTTTGTGTTAAATAGTTGTGTGAGTTCCAATTGATGTAATTGTTGGTTAATCTTGTTTGTGTCCGGACATTCCACAACTTACAATCGTCAACCTGTGAAGGGTTGTAGGCGTACTGGTGTAAGTCCTGCGATTCTTCAAAGGAATTCCATCAAGACATGAACTGCGAGTGTGTGTGTACTGTTTGTATATACGTGTGGTGTGTCATATCAATTGGTGTTTTTGGATTCATTGTGTTTACTCGTTGTTTTCGTACCTTGTTTTTATTGCATAATTTTGTTAAAATTTTCGTCGTGATTACTTCTGAAGTTGTTTCGAGTCTTCTACATCCGTGAATGAATTGATTGATGTTAAGGACAGCAGATGGGTCGTATACGCCGGGGAGGCTAGGCTATTGCTGAGAATGAAATGCACACGGAGATAATTGTTAGCTGCGGTCCGACACGCCGGGGAGAAAGAGTGTAAACGACTGAGGCTCGCATACGTCACCGTTACTAGAACTGAGGCAGAATGAGTGACAAGCGATTGCAGTGGTAATTGGTAATGAGTAGATAAGAGGATGTGCGTAGAGTATCGTGAGGTGCTGCCATGGTCACTTTGCATTCTGCAAGAGTCATTCTAGCAAATGGCGATTGTGTTGCAAGATGTCAAGAGGAGGTCTCTGTCTGGAGGCGCAGGTCGTCATTGATGTGTGAGATTGTGCTGTGAGTATGCTTGTGGTGTGTTGGCTTTTCTGTTTGTTTTCCATTTCAGCTCTGTCCGTGTGACCCAGGTTCTCGCAATGGCATCCAAGTCAACGTGCATTGGTCGTGAAGGAAAAAAGGGTTGGATCCCTTTTTTGCCGGGGAGTGTCAATGGAGTTGAAGATTGAACGATCAATTCCTGGTTGTTTGCTCAAAATCAACTTCCCCAATTTTCGCGGAGGCATCAATACGACAGTCATCGTCTCATCGGTCGCTGTTCAGAAAGAAGAGTGAAATATCGTCAGAAGTAATCTTATGATTTATTATTGTAATATTTGTTTACAGACCTTAGTTCGCTTATTCCTTTTATATGTTGGTGTAACAATAAACAAATCTAAAGCGGCAGATCAGTGTTTTGGTTTTTGCGTCCGTTATAACTAAGCGTTTCTGAGAAACTTCAAGGAACAGCGTGAGTCCGAGTGCAGCAAGAGCTGGGCATTGACGGTTTACGAGACGTGGCTGACAACAAAGGTAATGCACTGTGTCAATCACGTCTCATAAACCGTTAATGCCCAGCTCTCGCTACGCTCGGGCCCACGCTGTTCTTCGAAGATTTCTCAGAAACGCTTAGTTATAACGGACGCAAAAACCAAAACACTGATCTGCCGCTTTAGATTTGTTTATTGTTACACCAACATATAAAAGGAATAAGTGAACTAAGGTCTGTAAACAAATATTACAATAATAAATCATAAGATTACTTCTGACGATATTTCACTCTTCTTTCTGAACAGCGACCGATGAGACGATGACTGTCGTATTGATGCCTCCGCGAAAATTGGGGAAGTTGATTTTGAGCAAACAACCATGAATTGACCGTTCAATCTTCAACTCCATTGACACACTGAGTTTTTTCCTTCAGCTGAGACTTTGCGACATCATTCCGCTGCTGCTGCAGCACAATCTCGACCGCTTCTTTCCGTTCTGCTTTTAATTTCGTCGTACTCCAATTTCGGTGAAGAGGCCAGGTATTGTTGTGTATTGGTAATCGTGGTTTTCTAACATACATCAGTTGAAAGGGTGACTTCATCATTGTTTCCTGAAGGGTAGCACGATATGTTAGTAGAATCAGTGGAAGATCCGTTTCCCAGTTCCCGCCCTTCGAGGCCAGCCACTTTTTCAGTGTACGGTTGTTTCTCTCCGTTAGGCCATTCATTTGTGGATTATATGGGGTCGTTCTGATCCTCTTGATGCCCAGCTGTTGCAAACGGGAAGTATGTTCTTCACTCTCGAAACAGGGACCCTGGTCTGTCAGTATTGTCTTTGGTGCGCCGTCGTCTGCAACGGTGTGTCTAACTACTGCATCTGTCACGGTCCTTGCACGTTGGTCTGGGACTGCTACGGCATCTACCCATCGTATCGCGTGTTCCGTCATCACCAAGAGGTACTGATCAGATTGGATGTCTGAGGAAACGGACCAATGACATCTACCGACCACAAGTCACCTATCGCCGTAACTGGAATCGACTGAAGTGGTGGTCGTATGCACCAGCCGCCTTTCATTAGCTAGCAACGTGGACATCCAATTACTACCTTGCTACGTCTTCTCTCATACCTGGCCAGTACATACTTTGTATTAGGAGGTCGGTTGTTCTGGCCGCGGCTGTATGTGCTAGCTAGTGACATTATTCTATCATGTCGTGGCGCGACGATTGAGGTATGACAGCCAGGTACAGGTAGTTTTACTGTCATT